GATAAAGCAAAAACACGCAAGTCACAAGATGTCGGACAGCCTGTCAAAGGGTAAGATTTTATTTACGAATTGAACCACCAGCCGTTTTGTCTCTTCATTTCAACTAAGGGTCCCCTTCTGTGATCGAGGTCAGTATTGTGCACAGACCGAGCAAGGAGCTGCGGTGGGGGTTGTAAAACCCGGCTTCCTCAGCGAAAAGCGAGAAGACGTCTCGGCAGGCGCTGGGCCCTCGGAACCGAGCTCCGCCCGGCCCGGCCCCAGCCCGCTGCGGGTGTGGCGCTGTGTGGCGGGCGGGAAGGCAGCAAGCAGGGAAGTCAATTTTATGAATGGAAAAAGCTCCACATTCCCCAACGCCAGCCACGAGCGGCGGGAGCAGCCTCCTACCCGTGAGCCCGGGTGTTTGGTCTGCTCGGTGTTCTCTCTCCGCCGCGGGAAGGCTGGGTGCAGAGAGGCAGGGGTGGGTGGGGATGAGCAGAAGGAAGGGCTGGCGGCACAGCCGGCTCTGCCTACAGAAGTTTCACGCTGGCATGAAACAGACACACGTCAGGATGTAATTTACTTAATAACCATAGGAATGTTGAAGCCATGCATGCCCCTATCCTCAGGTTCCTCCAGCCCTCCAGACAAAGACCAAAGATAGGTCCCCGGGTGAGGTGCAGCGCCAGCCTGCTGGCCGCGCCACACCCGGAGAAAGCAGCCGCCTTTGCTAGGGCTGGGCGCAGGTCACTCAGGGACAAGTACCCGCAGCAGGGAGACTACAGGGGTGGGGGTGGAGGAGGACGAGGCGTGGCGACACACTCCTGGCTGCAGGCAATGAGGCCAAAAAGTGGGCATTCAGGACTCCCGGGAACAGCCCTACCCCGAGCATCTTGATCCGAGACTGGCACCCCTGACCTGTCAAGTGAGCATTTTAATATTGACTAAATACCCCATAACCAAATGGGCGATTACAAATACAGACAGAATGTCCTATTTTATGTTTTAAAATCCCGTGAATCTTCAGTTGGCTTTGCTCACTCTCAGGCAGTTTGCTTCCGGTTTATCTAAAGGTTGGAGAGCAGCAACGTACTGCCAGCTGGAGGCATCTCACGGGGTCTGGAAACTGGCATGGAGAAACCGGCATCCCCTCATCTAGGTGGGGGAAAGGCAATTATTTAACCAGGCATCCCTAACCCCAGGTGGGAGATGATGCCTGCCCTGTCCCAATCTGCCTGGCATAGATAAAGCCACAATGAGCTGGATCCTATCTACAACTCTTGGATAAGCCTTCCAGAAAGTGCTGGAGAATCTAGAGCCTTGTGCCAGAGATTCTGTGTAGGTATAGGTAGGTCTGTAACTGAATGCACTTACAGGTGCATTTCTGTGACTCATTCAGTAGTGTAAACATTCACTCTAGCCCAGGCCAGCCTCCTGGTGACTGCAAAGAAGTCATAATGATTCTCACCTTGAGCAGGGCTACCCCTGACCAACAGTCAGGTGCTTGAGATCCCTTTAGCTTTGTCATTTTCAGATCCAGGCAAATGGCTTGGAGGTAGGGTTGGCCTTCTGGAGAGGCAAGTAACCTCTGTTCAGGACTCAAAATTCAAGGAGCTCCAGTCTAGTTGGGCATGATTTTGTTTTCCATGGGGAGGAAATTCCCTCATACATCAGAAGTTCACTCATTCGCATCATTCACGTGCCCTTGTCAGCCTAAATAACAGAGAAAGTCTTTCTTAAAGAAAAGGTATTTATTTGGGAATAAAGCATGGCAATGGAAATACACATGCCATGGTAAGCTATGTGTGTATTCAGTGAGGTAAACAAAGACAAAGGTGTTAAAAGGAAAAAATGAGGAGGATTAAACAATTGTTTCGAAATCATTATCCTTGGTACAAAGATCAGTAACAAGGCGATGCCAGTCGAAGATTGGACAGGCAGTTGTTGCGCAGATGTCCTTGAAAAAGTATTTTTGGTGTAAGGTTGTGATGGCCTTTGTGCAAGCTTGTGGAGTCTGTGATAGTTTTTATTAGGAGGGATTTATGCACGAGAGCCCTCTCTTCATGGCCTTCTTCAGCTCTTCATTGCCAGGATTTTTTAACATTAGTGACTTCATTTGGATTCTGACAAGTTTCATGCCCTCAAGCCCTACCACCTCAATTTCATGACCTAAATCAGCTTGGCCTTGCACTGTATTATTTTCCAACAGTTGTGCATTTGGGGAACTGGCATCCTACAGCTGCTTTGTTTGAGCCAAGGTTACATGGTCAGCTTTAATGCTTCAGCACTGTATATAACATAAAGGTCAATATCATCTATAAAAGTCCTCTTTCTGCCCCAGCTGTGCCATAAACCATATGTATATCAAGATGTCATTTTATTTCCCTGAACCTGTTTTTCCCTATTATAAAATTTGCAGTTAAAATTCATTGAACTTGGCTCGGCGCCTATAGCTCAACCGGCTAAGGCGCCAGCCATGTACACCTAAGGTGGCGGGTTTGAATCCCCAGCCCGGACCCGCCAAACAGAGACTTTGACCGTCCAAAGCCAGAGTGAACC